CTCTGGGTGGCACCTGGGATAGAACTCGGGCCCTTGTGCCTGGGTCCCTCACCCCTGAGCCCTGGCCCTGGCTCTGGCTTTCACTTTCCTGCTCCTAGCGTGGGCTCATCAGCACATCCGGATCTCAAAAACATGACTGTGCATTCCCAGTGTAGGGGCAAACGGAACCGGAGACACACTGAAACAAAACCAGTGCCTTTTGGGACCTGCTGGGAAGGAAATTAGCCATTCCCACTTAGTGTTTATTTAAACATCGAGGTATTTTAATATATGCACCCTCCGGCACAGAACCCTGTATGTCTGGAACTGCCTCACAGGCCTTGAGTGAGTGCTATAGTCCCTCTCTGTATTTCCTCTCTCTGTCCGTGGACACAGAACTCTTCTCCTTACACCCAATTTTTTTGTTTTTGGACCACACCTAGCGGTGCTCAGGGGTTACTCCTGGCTCTGCACTCAGGGATCACTCCGGGCAGTGCTCGGGGAACCTTATGGGATAGCGGGGATTGAACCCGAGTAGGTCACATGCAAGGCAAATGCCCTCCCCACTGTACTATCGCCCCGGCCCCTAGCTGTCCCCGATCTGCTCTCCTTACCCTCATCCCTTCTTATCCGTCCTTCCCAGGCTTCCATTCTTCTTCTTCACAGCTGGTCCTCTTTGCCGTCCATCTGTCTCTGACTTCTATTTTCAGTTATGGCTCAGGCCCACCCATCTTCCTCCTCCGGGGAGTTTCTATTTATATAACTGTCTCCAACTGTTGGAGTGAAGGGATAGCTCCCAGCAACTATGAGTGACTTGAGTCACCGTGTTCATGTTTGTTGAGAATCCAACCAGTGGCTTCCAGCTTAGTGATGGTGTAAAATTCAGCATTCTAATAGTTTTAAGAGGAAAGACATAGTTGCTTTCCCCCCTTGAAACCCAGTTGACATCTTTAGTAACAAGCACTTTAAGATGGGAACCTTCAACAGCTGTCCTGAGGCAGTCTGTGTGACGGGGCTGCGGATGACATGGGGAAGGCCTTTCCTGGTGGAGGCTGGCTGGTCCCCACCTCCCCCACCTCTCATCCTCCCCATCTCCACCCCAACCCCCAATGCACACAGCACTCACTCCCGGGTTCACACTCACTCCGGGGTTGACTCGCTTACATTCAAGCTCAGTTCCGCATTCCCACAGGGGGCAAGATTCGAATACTGGAGAAAAATCTACTTAAATCAAAGCAAGCAAGCTCAGAGGCCATCAGAGGAAGTTGGATTTTATTGATGTTTGACATTCATCTGCATACAAGTGTGACATGAGGGCATTAAATAGGGTGAGAGGGAAGTAGCCCCCAGCCCCCCAAAGGTCACGGATCTTACCTTGAAGGTAAGTAAAAACACTGAACGATGCTCCCTTCGTGTCTGTGATTCGTAACTAAAATATAATCTTAGCAACAGAACAAATCTTGATTGATCGCATCATTCCTTGTCGAAAAGGAAAATCAAATACCATACAACACAAAATACCAAACAGAAATAAATAATGAAATAATAATTTAGCTTTACTGCAATGTACTTATCACACAAACTTCTAAATCTGATTTTTTTTTTAAGTTTGGAACACATTAGCCTTTTTCTTAGTTTCTTACTCTGTGATACATTTTTTTTTGTAAAAAAAAAAAACAATTCTGTGCAGGCCCTCATGTGCATGTGTTTAAAATGTAGCTATCAGGGCTGGAGGGATGGTAAAGGGGGTCAAGTGCTTGCCTTGGACCTTGCTGACCCTGGTTTCAATCCCTGGCATCACATATGATCCCCTAGCCAAGGGTCACTCTTGAGCACTGAGCCAGAAATAGCCCCTGAGCACTTTGGGGGGGGGGTGCACCGCGACCCCCCCCCCCCTATAGTGAAAAAAAAATTCACTACAATGTCAATACCTGTCCATCAAGAGCTGGTCCACCTACGTGCACAGGTGTGGCTAACGGCTGTCACCGGGGGCATTAACACTGAGCCATACGCAAGCAGCTTCTTCAGTTTACCCCGGGTAGGGACCTGGCACCGACAGCCAGCTGTGAGAATGTGCAGGTACAGGGCACAATCACTCACCTGTGCTGTCATGTCTTTAAATGGGCTGAAAAATTCGAGGCCACCCTTTGGGGGTTGATACAGGAGCACAGACAGTGGTGAGGTGTCATCAATTCACTGGAGCCTTTCCTTTGATCAGACCTTTTTAGCTGGCTCCCCTGGTCCGGTTTCATTTGCTTTTTTTTTCTTTTTTTGATATGTTTTTGTGGCACACCTGGCTGTGTTTGGGGCTCATTCCTGACTGTGCTCAAGGGTCCCACCTGAGGTGCGGGGGATTGAACTGGGGTCAGCTGTGTGCAGGGCGAGCACCTTACCCCCGTACTATCTCCCGGACTCTGAACTCATCGTCCCTGAGTTGTCTCTGCTGCTCCCCAGCTCGGCACTGCTGAGAGGAAGCACTCGGGGTGCAGGACCTCAGATGTGCAGACCCACCCCCTCCTCCCCAACCCCCAAATATATATTTAATGTTCGGGGGCGGGGGCAGGCATGTTGTTTCATCACTTGCTAGAAAACTGATTCTGAAAAAGACCCAGAGGAGAAGGTAAGTAAAATTCTGGTTCACAACAATGATAACAAATATTTTTAAGAATGAAATTTTGTCATTTTTCTTGCACTTTGTGTGTGTGTGTGTGTACCCACAAAAGGTTAACTCCCTTTCTAAATTAGAAGAATGCTACTGTATACAGGGGTACACTGTTTTATTGTACTTCACAGATATTTCATTCACCTCCTCCAAATTAACAGTTTATGGCAACTCAACACCGGGAAAAGTCTCCTGGTGCCATTTTCCAAACAGCAGATGCTCACTGCATATCTGAGTGACATTTTAAACAGGTCTGTACAGTTTTTTTTTTTTTTGACAGAATGTTACTGCACACTTCATGGACACAGGAAGGCGTTACCTGTGGTCAGGACACGATGATGGTAATGGGGGATTTTAAATAATGGAATTTTAATTTTAAATAATAGGGTAAACATAACTTTCATATGCACTGGGGAAACAATCTGTGTGACTTGCTTTATTGTGCTATCGCTTTACTGGGGTGGTTCCTGCAGTGCCTCTGAGATGTGTGTCTGTATCCTTAACTGTCCTCGCAGATCAGCATCTTCTGGAAAGGCCGTTAGGTAAAATTCTTTAGGGTCTCTAGGCAGCATACAGTCTCTGTTGCATCTTGCTCACTTGTTCCTTTAACAGCCCTTTTTAAAACCGTTCTCATCTCAGGGTCTAGATTTCCCTGTGGGGTAGGACAGTTTGCCAAATACCACCCTGCAGTGGGTTTTGGAGGGAAACGCGTGCATTTTAACTGTTTAACATTGGGCGCTGGAACCCTAATTTAGGGGTCCTGTTTGGAAGTAGGTAGGTCCTTGCAGAGGATTTCAGAAGCCTGGCATATAGCTGCTCCCTTTGGCATTAACCTCTGCCTGCCCATCTGTGCAGAACTGGACCAAACCTGCAGTCTTTATTCTTAAAATGTGGCTTTTTACAGGAGAGGGGGAAATTTAAGCCAGGGTCTCTGGGAGCATATTCTTGGCCTTGATTTTAAAGGCTCGATTGAGGAGAAAAATTTTCATCCTGCACCGTGGAGCTTTCCTCCAACTGGCCAGGCGACAGAGGAATGGAAGTGTGAGCTCTCTCTTCACTGCTGGCTCACTGAGAGTCGACAAGTCAAATTCCGGTTAAGGATGCACGGAGAAGCATGTCTGCTAACTTCTGCGCCTGGAGTACCCTGACACAGCTGCTCATTTGTGACCGTATCTTGATAAGGAACAGTATTTATTGGGGAGTCATTTCTACTGATTTACTGTATTTACTGATTTCGCCCACTATAGACTGACAGGGCCTGGCCTGCTACTCTGACATGAGACTGGCCTGACTGAGGCACACACAGCCACTCCCACCTGCCCAGCTGTGACTGAGGCAAACCTTCTCCACTAATTTTGCCCTCGCTAGATTATCATTTTGAAGGACAGGATAAAAAAAAATTGGATTCAGGGCTGGAGTGATAGCACAGTGGGTAGGGCATTTGCCTTGCATGCAGCCGACCCGGGTTTGATTCTCAGCATCCCATATGGTCCCCCGAGCACCGCTAGGAGTAATTCCTGAGTGCATGAGCCAGGAGTAACCCCTGAGCATCGCCGGGTGTGACCCCAAAAACAAAAACAAACAAGAAACCAAAAAAACAAAAAAAAATTGGATTCCCCACAAACTTGTAAGCTTTCAAGTCATTAATGTACAGTATGTCACATTTATTAATAAAGCAGTCTTTTTTTTTTTCTATGTTACTAGGAGCTTTAGAATCTGAATTCTTTCTCTACTCAGTGATTTTTTTTTTAAAGCAGCTGATGGTCTCAAAATAGTTCCCTGCTACCAACTAGATAAATTTAACTCTCTGGGGAAAGGATTAGCATGCATGTACACAGAACATTTCTCCTGGCGGGGGAAAAATCGTTGAATGAGAATTCCCAAAGCTTCTCGACTATTTAAATGAACAGGTGAAAAATAACTAATTTCGCACATGCCAGTCCTGTTGTCCTTTTAGATTTTTGTTTAAAAGGCCCAAATTGTTTTTCTCGGAATGTGACTTTCTTACTCTAGACTCAGCCCCGCCTCTCCCCGGGCCCGGAGCAAGTGGCTCTGCTAACTGGCGGTGAGCGATACAGCCGCAGAGAAAGCTGAGCAAGTTCCGGAAGGGGCCTCCAAAATAAAACTGCAGAGACATTTAATTTTGTTTCTGGGGCACACCTGGCAGGACTCAGGGCTTATTCCTGGTTCTGCATTCAGGGCTCACTCCTAGTGGGCTCAGGGGATCATATGGGGTCCTGGGGATTGAACCCAGGTCAGCCGCGTACAACGTGAGTGCCTGATCTACCTGCTGTACTATACCTGTAGAGACTTTTTTTTTTTTAACCAAGGGACAGATTGCTGGTCTGAAATCAGATGAAACTGGAACCCACTTTAACATGCAAAATGTATTACTGAGAAGACCCCAGAGCGAGCCTGTTGGCGTGCAACACTCTGGTGCCAGTAAGAGGAAAATTCGATGACGGAACTTCAAAGGCAAAGTGTCCTGGGCTGCTGGGAGATGGGACAAGGAAGGAGTTACCTGTGGTGGGGACACGATGATGGTAATGGGGATTTTAAGTCATGGAAAAGAAATTCTGCAGCGTGTGAAGTCTTTCATTCTTTTCCGTTAGCAGTTTACACACACGCAGCCCGGGTCAGTATTTCACCTTTTTTTCCAGGTCTCTTCACTATCCATTGAAAAAAAATAATTGCTTTCAGCTGCCTGTATTTCTCTACTTTGGATAGAAAGGATTTTCTTTTTCTCTTTTTTTATTTTTAAATCTGCAAAGACTGGAACGATAAAATACAAACTCAACAAACAACACCTTCTATGCTAGAACTCTCAAGATAAAGGTGGAAAGAATTACGTTGCAATTTCAGTCTTTTTCTATATTTTGTTTGGTTGTGTATAAGTTTCACTCTTCAGTCTTATCGGAGGAAACACACCTTTGCATTTCCCCACAGTATCAAAGTGCTATCTGTTAAAAAAAAACAACACAAACTGAACATATCTTCAAGAAGCCCTAGGAGCCCCAAGCAGCCACAATGAGGTGATTTTTGCCTTTTCCCTCTATTTCCCTTGAAAGCTGGACACACAATCGCCACGGGGAACACCTCTAGGACAACACAACTCAACACAACAATGGATTGTGTTTTTCGCTCTGCAAAGGAAGAGGGAAGGAAAAATAAAGCCAACAGGAGGGAAAAACCAAAAAAAAAAAAAAAGGAGAAACCCTGAGGCAAAAAAAATGGCTTTTCCTTTAGAAAGTCTTCAGGGGCGCTGGGCTCACAGGGCCCCCGCCGTCTTCTGGGGGGCCAGACCCTCCTCCAGCCAGAGGGCGGCGCTGGTGGGGCCGCCGCGCAGCATCCGGCGGTGGATGCGCCGCAGCCGCAGCAGGTAGAGCAGGATGGAGAGCAGGACCACCAGCACGCAGCCCCAGAACAGGTAGTGATTGTAGACGAAGGAGAAGCCGCGCCAGTGCGCGTGCCCGGCCCGGAAGGTCTCCTGCTGGATATCCCTGCCACGGGGGAAGAAGAGCAGTGGGAGGTGAGCGGGACGGGGTGGGGTGGGACAGGACAGGGACGGGACAGGGCACGGGGCATGGGGTGGCGGCAGCTCCCTGGGGCAAAACTGCAACCTTGGTCCTGAAGACTCGGTTTTCTAACCTGGAGCGTGTTGGAAGCAGGGTCGGGCAGAGGGGCCGGCAGGACTGAGCTAACTAACGTGTGAAAGTGCTTGCTAAAGTTCCCGTGGATCCCATCTTCATCCTCTGAGTGGTGTAAGTCAGACTGGAGGCCAACATGGAAGCAAACCTCATTTCTGATCAGTGATACCCAGGACTCTCAGTTTTGTAGTTTAAACGTCCTGTGGGGGGTGGGTGGGTGGGGAGTTGTTCAGTTATGGGAAAAGGGAAAATTCCCCCAAAGCTACTGCCTCATTTGCCAGTTAGCTGGGATTTCAGCACCGGGATAAGCTCACACCCAGGCTTGTGAACTGGAGTGGGGAAAATGCACATCTTTATTCTGCGCATCTGTCAGGATGCAGCGTTTCCTTCGATTGTGAAGGCAGAAAACAAAGTGGCACAAGTGGGACCTCTGACTGGGTCCCGAAGGAAACTCACTGAGTTTTTTTCTATCAGTGGTTTTCAACCACTGTCCACAGACCAGTACCAGGCCACAGAAGTTTCCTCCCAGTTCACAAAAAAGGCTACTGCTGTTTAACACATGGTATGCCAGGTCACGTAGTGGTAAAATGTGTGTATGTGTGTGTATTCTTCTTTGTAGATTCAGATGCAAAAGGTGGAAGATCGTCACTTTTACATCACATTATGGTGCTTTGCAGATGTCTCAAAATCGAGAGACATCACTACACTGCAATACAAAAATTGCCAATTCTGTTGCCAGGCCTTGTTATGTAATGGGTTAATAAAGAATGGGTCATTCCATGCCACGTAATATTTTCTGTAATACTGTGACAAACATACTTCCCCACAGTCATTTCCTCTGTAATCCTGTGTATTTAGATGATGCATTAAAAACTATTTTGAGGGGCGATCCAAAGCCATAAAAAGCCATAAAAGTCAGAGCATCTGGAATTAATAAACCCTTTCCCATAGGGCTGGGGGAAGAGATGGAGCATGAATGATCAACATGGGTTGTGGTGATGGGGGGCAGTCAAGTCAAACGGACGGTGTGGATCTGACCCACGGCCGGCACGAAGCTCCACCCTGCAGGCCCCATGAACCACGGCTGCCAACACGCATCATGACTGTGGCAAAACTCCCCTGGACTCATTTCTCTTACTAAATCACAGTCCTACCTTAAAGGTAAAAAGCGGGTCCTGTAAAGAATGGCTCCAAGCGTCCACTGAACCTCCTTGTCATAAACTTGCAAAGCTGTCTTCAAATTTTTATAGTTGACAGGAAATGAAAAGCCATTATGGAACACCTCGAACATCCAGGCGGATTTGAAGCACTGATACCTACAAACACCAAGCACAGGCCTCAGTGGGATGGAAGACACGGCGGGCAACAGCACGGGGACAGCTTCCCTCGGGGGCCACACAGACAGTCTCTATTGGGCCTGTGCTCGGAGTCGCCAAGCCAAATGCGTGCCCATCAGGTGCCTTTATTTGGCTTGTGCCCGGAGTTTCACAACACAAAATGATTCAGTTGTCAAATTGATTCTCTCATGTAACCTGGCCTCAGGGTAAGACCAAGAGTTTCCTTCTTCCACCTCCCCCGCTTAGTATTCCACCATGTTTGCATTGATCCTAAATCGGAGCAAGTTCTGACTTTTCAGGCCTCAGTTTCTTTTACGTGGCAAAGGCAGGCTGGGGGCTCAGTGGAAGAGTGCATGCGGGAGGGGCTGTCTGAGTTTTGACGGCTTGTGATGCTGTGTATCTGAGACTCACTTTTTCGGTGAGATGCTGTGCTGTACAAGTAGTAGTATTACTTAAAATTACTTAAATATTACTTAAAAAAGAGATAGTGCAGTGGGAAGGTGTAATGGTGGCAGGATTGGTGTTTGAATATTAAATGTAATCAAACCCTATGAACTACCTTATAAAATAAAAAAAAATTAAAAAGAGAAAGTGTTATACAAGAAAGGTTTTTTTTGCGTTTTGAATTTTATTATTATTTTTGCTTTTTGGGTCACACCTGGCGATGCCCAGGGGTTACTCCTGGCTCTGCACTCAGGAATTACTCCTGGCAGTGCTCGGGAGATCATGTAGGATGCTGGGAATTGAACCCGGGTCAACAGTGTGCAAGGTAAAGGCCCTACCTGCTGTGCTACTGCTCCAGTCCCTGAATTTTATTTTTTATAGGCTCTCCCCAGGTGCCTGGGAGCCAGCACTGTGGGTCTGACAGTTCAGTGCTTGGGGCCACCAGGGCCACACGTCGGTGAGATTCAACCAGCCTAAGCACGGCACGAGCTCTACCCCTCTGAGGGTTTTGTTTTTTATATCTGAGGTTACAATCAGGAGTGCTCAGTGCTCAGGGTGGATCCTGGCATTGCATGGGGGACCGTATGGTGCTGGCCATGGAACCCGGGGTGCCAGTATTCAAAGCATGTACTCTAGTCTGTTGAATTAACTCAGCCTCCTGTGAACTACTCTGGCCCTCAAAGGACTTTTATTTTTATTTTTACTTTTTTAAAAATTTTTATTAGTGAAACACCATGAGGTACAGTTGTAGACTTACAAATTTTGTGCTTGGGTTTCAATTATACAATGATCAAGTACCCATCCCTCCACCAGCGCCCATCCTCCACCACCACAGGTCCCAGCATCGCTCCTACCCCCTACCCCCCCATCCCACCATGCCTCTGTGGCAGGGCATTCCCTTTTGTTCTCTCTATCCTATTGGATGTTGTGGTTTGCAAAAGAGGCATTGAGCGGCAATCATGGTTGGTCTATAGTCTACTTTCAGCATGCTTCTCCCATCCTGGGAAGATCCTCCCAACACCCTCAAAGGACTTTTAGAAAGCAACAGATTGAGGGATGGGTACTCGATGATTGTATGACTGAAACGTAAAGCACGAAAGTTTGTAAGTCTGTAACTGTACCTCACAGTGATTCATTAAAAAGTAAAAAATTTAAAAAAAAATAGAAAGCAACAAATCACTACAAAACAAAGAACATACATACATATGTATATTCATATATAAAGAGAGGGGGACAGAATCTGGTTGTGAAGGCAGAGAAGAACATAAAAGGAAGAGCATCTAGCCTTTGACATCCAGACAGTACGTACATCAAGAAAGATCAAGGGGCTTTCTGTTGGAAAGAAAGCCAAAACCGAGAAAAAACTAGACAGCATGTGGGACAAAAATATTTGTCCCATTTGCAAATATTTGTTCCTTTTCAGCTCAGGGTAGCTGAAAAGGAACAGTGACTGATGAGGATGTAATGCTAGGCTGAGGCCTACACTGGCCATGAGATTTGTTTCAAAAGCCTTGGGGCTTGGCCATCTACTACTTACTTCAGCCTGTGGAGGTCAGCGTGAGAAGCATATAGCCCTCTGTCAAAGCGTTCTCGAAGGATCGACCATTTTGTTGCACAATAATCCTGAAAGAATCCCCCCCCACCGATATGAATTAACAAAAGTTTATTAAACATGTTTTTCATTTTAAAAGGATTTGCCAAACTCATGCTGAAAGCAAGCATAGCCATCCAGTTAGGAAACACCAGCTTAGTTTAAATACAAGTACCATGCAGGTGAGATGCTCAGCAGACACTTATGGATTATTACAGGTACACTTGTTGTCTTTAAACAATTTTTTTCTGTGTGCTTTTTTTGGGTCACACTCAGGGATGCACAGGGGTTACTCCTGGCTTTGCACCCAAGAATTACTCCTGACAGCGCTCAGGGGACCATAAGAGATGCTGGGAATTGAACCTGGGTTGGTCACGTGCAAGGCAAACACCCTACCGGCTGTACTATCGCTCCATCCCCCCACTTGTTGTCTTTAAAGTTCTGCCACGCATCTCCTTAGAGAATCCCACTCCCACACGCAGCCTCTTCCAATGCTCAGCTCTGCTCTCCCTCACTGCACGAGATGGCAACTTTCCTGATTGCGGGCCTCTATGCCTCAGCTACCCAGGGCAAGATTCTGGAAACACAGACTCCAAACAGCATTGTCTTTGAGAAGAGGCACATCTTCTTCAAGAGATGTGATGATATTAATGGTGAACGTTAAGTCAAGCACAGTACAAGTGCTTTCCCCAAGCCTACTACTTAAAACAACCCCGTGGCAGGGCCCTGACTCTCATCTCTGAAGAGCGAAGAAAATGCGGCCAGAGGGGCAGGAAACCCAGGGAGAAGCACAGAGCCTAGGAGAGAAGCGAGGGCTGGCGTTTCAGGCAGAGAAACAACCATGAACATAGACGTGTAGGGTGTTTGCCTTGCACCCGGGGTCGATTCCCTGCATCCCATATGGTCCCCTGAGCACTTCCAGGAGTAATTCCTGAGTGCAGAGCCAGGAGTAACCCCTGTGCATCGCCGCGTGTGACCCAAAAAGAAAAACAAAACAAGAACAGAGAATGTCTCCTGGGGGTGCTGGGGAGAGGTAGCGCCAAGGGCTTGTATACACGCAGTATGCGGCAGGCCCTGGGTTCAGTCCCTGTCACTGTGTGGTCCCCTCGAGGAACCATTCCTGACAACTGGCCCGAGCAGTCCTGAACACTAAGTGCTGCTGGCTGCCCCCCGCCCCCCCACTCCATCTCCCGCCCCCAACGAGAGAAAGAAAAGTAAGGAGCAGCAAAGAGGTGGGGAACACAAAGCACCTTCTGACAGGACAGAAGCGGGAGGGGCTGGGTGGACCACTGAGGGGACAGGGTGGGGATGACGTGCTCGGAAATTTATCCCGGAGGCAAGAGAAAGAAGGAGCTGGAGATTTTACAAAGGACAGCAAGCCACTGCATGTGCGTTTCAGACAGGACACAGGAGCCCGCGGAGAAAGAACTGGACAGAGAGAAGTCGGTGGGTGGGGAGGGCTGAGACACATCTGCAACATCCTAACACAGCTGATGATGGACTTTGTAAGGGTGTCTAGGGAGGACAGACTTGTAGAGTCAACCTGGAGCAGGGGCAGAAGCCAGCTGACAGTGGACTTGCCCTCGTGTGTCTGCTTCCCTCCCCAACAAGGGCAGAAGGTTCCCAACATGCCAGGCCCCCACCTGCCACTCTCCAGCTCCCCCTGCCCTAGGCCTCCTCCTGGGACAGCCATGGCCCACGACCTCTCCACAGCCTGCAGTGACAGCCAGCCGCCCTGAGGGTACCTTTGCAGCTTTAGTAAATGTAGCAGCATTGTAGTCCCCTCCCATCCGCAACACGTCCTCGGTGCAGTAATAGAATTCTGAGAAGCCATAGAATTCACTGTTCTGGAAGTGGATGGGGGGCTGGTAAATGCCGTTGAGGGACGTCTGCGTCGCGTTCGTCTTATTCATGAAAGGCAGGAGAGTCTCGCGACACAGGTCGAAGTCCCCAGTTCCCCGGAGGTACAGGGTCTGCCCGTTCTGCTGGATTTCATCTTTGATGTCCAGGGGCAAGCAGGGGTCCAGGTAGGGCGTGTCAGGAGTTAGGCCGGTCTGCTTCCCGAGGAGCCTGCAGGACAGAGAGTGACATGAGCCACTGGTGACATTAGCCACCAGCTTGCCTGGAGAACGTGAGAGGAGCACAGCAAGATGGAGCCCACGAGGGCTTGGGGCAGGTCAGACCGGAAAACACCTGCTTCAGGCTCTTCCCGAAGCGGCCTGGCAGCTGCTGGCATGCAGCAAATAGGACAGGAACCTTGTCAGGCCAGGAGCCACCGGGAGCCACCTGACACAGTTCAGTGCCCCTGTCACTGGGCGCCCACGCTCAAGCCCATTTCTGTCACGAGGGATTATGACTTTAATCACAGAGAACAGGTGTCTGAGGAAAGAGCCAGCCGGGGCTGTGGCAGCTAGACGGAATGCTGGAGGAAAAAAAAATGTGATAAAGGCGACTTGCTTGAAAACTCTTGTTAAGCATGAGCAAGAATAAATAAAATGAGGGAAAATGTAGCAGGACTTGGGCCACAGCGATTGTACAGTGGGGAGGGCATTTGCCTTGCACAAGGCCAACCTGGATTTGATCCCCAGCATCCCATATAATCCCCTGGGCTCTTTTGGGAGCGAATCCTCAGTGCAGAGCCAGGAGTAACCCTTGAGCCTTGTTAGGTGTGACCCAAAAAGGAAAAGAAAAAAAAAGAAGTAGGTGTTGGTATCAATTTGCTAAGTCCTTGGTGTTCAGTATACACAGTCAGTGTGACATAAAGAAGCGGGGGGGGGGGGGGGCGGAGAACCAAAAACCCTTTATTAGAAGAGTCAAAGACTCTTTGGGAATGAACATGGCGGGTAAGCCAAATGCTGCTGGCCTGGGTATCTTTAAAGATCCACTATTTTAATGGAATGTTCTTTTTTGTTTCTCCCCAGAGGTGACTGGGATCTTTGGGGTCACTCTTGGTGATTCTGGCCTGGTAAGAAAGGGCTGCTCCTGCCCGGCAGTGCCAGGGGCCCTGGGGCGACACCTGCCTATGTGTCAGGGGCCGCGTGGCCAGAGACTAAACTCTCCTGGAGTTCTCCCCCGCCACCCTGAATTAATTTTACAAATGAGGCAACTACTGATGCCATCGCTGTAGGCTCTGAGGAGTCCTGGCAATGAGAATCCTTCACCAAAACACACGAGGCTCACCCCTTCCCTAAGAAAACTTCCTCAAATTAACATCTGTCCGTGTTGTCACCTTCATGCAATTCAAAACCAGAAAAGGTCTTACAGGAACCTGAGTGATGCTGCTGTTTGGTCCCACAGAAAAGGCCTGTGGGACTCTAAGGAGGCTGGGCTGAAGGAGACTGTGGAACTCTCCGTCACCACACTGCACCAGAGGAAGCAATCTGAGACCAGTGCAGCCTGAAAGGCCCTGAAATGCAGGAAACATCAGGATTCTGTCTTTTAAAATGCTTCATCAATTGAAAAGAAGTCACTGTCACTAGTGATGGCAAAGGGAAAATTTAATTTCAAGACCGATTTCATGACATATACACAAAGTTAGGAATACTTAGAATTATTATAAGAACCCAAGACTAGGTTTACTCTTTAAGCCTGTGCTCTCCCTTGAACAGTGAACTCCCTTGCTTGTCTTTGTGTTTCTTTGCTTGCTTTTTGCCTGGGTGCTCTGTGGAACACATCTTTCCCCTCTCTGACCTCAAGTCTTTTTTATTTTGTTTTGGGGTCAGAGCCAGTGATGCTCAGGGGTTACTCCTGGCATGGCATCCTGGCGGTGCTCAGGGGGTGATATGGGATGCCTGGGATTGAACCCGGGTCAGATGCATGCAAGGCAAATGCTCTAATGGTGGTACTGTTGCTCCAGCCCCTCACCTCACATATCTTTCTAAGTAAGTTTCATTTACTAAAAACTCCCTTGCTTTACAAAAAGAAAGAAAGAAAGAAAGAAAGAAAGAAAGAAAAGAAAGTCTAAGACTAATCAAAATGTATACTTCCAACTACAATTTTAGTTGTCCTTTAAATAAAATTCTGTGGTTCCATAGAATTTATACATTATCCATTATACAAATTCTTCTGACATTAAAATCAATTAGTGGAGGGGCTGGAGCAATAGCACAGCGGGTAGGGCATTTGCCTTGCATGAGAACAACCCGGGTTCGAATCCCAGCATCCCATATGGTCCCCTGAGCACTGCCAGGGGTAATTCCTGAGCGCAGAGCCAGGAGGAACCCCTGTGCATTGCTGGGTGTGACCCAAAAAGAAAAAAAAATCAATTAGTGGAACTTGGCATTCCAGGGCAAGGATGTGGCTCTAGGGCTGGAGCGATAGCACAGCGGGTAGGGCATTTGCCTTGCATGTGGCCAACCCGGGTTCGATTCCCAGTATCCCATATGGTCCCCCAAACACTGCCAGGAGTGATTCCTGAGTACATGAGCCAGGAGTAACCCCTGTGCATAGCTGGGTGTGACCCAAAAAGCAAAAAAAAAAAAAAAAAGGATGTGGCTTCATGATAGAAAACTTGGCTTTCATATGTAAGGAACTGGGTTTCATCTTTGCTACGACAAAAAAATAAATAAATAAAAATAAAAGCTTAAAAAAAATTGGATTCCAGAAAGTTTTCCTCAACATTGCTTGAGAGTCACTAAATAAAATATTTCTACTTTAAGACTATCATGAAGAGTAATTACACAAAAATGGCCATCTACCATTTTGCAAAAAGTCACAGGCCGACCAATTTTTAACTAGCAAAGTTCAATGAATGTATGACGAAGAGATAAACGTTGTATTTTTCTGTTCTTGTATGTGAATTTATGGAAAATGTCGTGTTGAATGGCTGTGACTCGGTTCTTTGTTAAAGTGCAGGCTTTTACAAATTCGTTATAATTAAAATGAGTGAGGAAATTTATGCTTTTAATATTGATAAATTAGGATTTTTCCTTCTTCAAAATAGCTCAATCGAAAAAAGACATAGTAGGAGAATATCTTACATAACTCCAGATTTCATATTTTAATATTCATCCAAATGGCTTTTGTTTTTAAGATCTCATTTCAAAAAATTAATGATTATATGCTTAAACTTACAAAATAAATGCAGCCTTTTATATTTATGTGTGTATATACATATATGTATGTGTATATTTTATATATATATTATATAATGTATATTGGTTTATGGGCCATACCAGGCGGTCCTCAGAGCTTATTTCTGGCTCTGTGCTCAGGGATTACTCTCTGTTGGCTCAGGGGGACCATATGGGATGCCGGGGACCGAACTCAGATCTAAGTCAAATGCAAGGCAAGTTTCCTACCTGCTGTACTACGATTCTAGCCCATTATTTTATATACCTCTGAATTGAGAATTCTTCAAAAATAATTTCTGTAAGAATCACAGCTAAAAATGCGAGTCTTTTCACATCACCAACTCTGACTTCTAGGTCATTTCTTTTTTTTGAATAACAGTCTATTATATCCACTTAATAATCACTAGGCTACTTTTCCAACCTGACAGGAATGTCAAGGTCACCATTCTCACCCTCAGGGCCTAAGCACCCTCACTATCAGTCAGATGGCCCACGGGCTCTCCATAGAGAACAGCACCCTCAGGGGCTCACCAAAATGTTACTTTCCTGACAGAGCCATTTCTGCACCGTCTAGGGCACTGTGGGTCGAGAGATCAGATCTCTCCCAGGATGCCGTGTCTTATAGGACGCAGGCTGAGGGCAGGATCACAGTTGGGGGTCCCTGAACTCATCAGGGAGGGAGGAAAAAAGCTTTGAGGTCTTTGCTGTGAGGCTGCTTGCTGTCTGGATGTGCTTTCTCTGAGCAGAGACCTCGGTTTGAAAGTGACTTGACAAGCAGTGGAAAGGACATCACCTGTTTTTCTGAATCGTGCTGGCGAACAACCTGTCTTCATATCTCTGGCGAGCGGCGTTGCCACCAAACCCGAGGAAGGTGGCCACGTAGACTCGGTACACGTGCTCTGTTTGGTGGACATCACATCCCAAGTTAAATTCGGCTAACAAGTTCTTGGCTACTTCCTCCTGCAGACATAAAGATAACAAATTTCAATATTTTTGGCAAGACAAAACCAACTGTCTCCTGTTTAAAAAAGATCTGAAAAGATTTTCATCTAAGAGGGAAAAATGTTTGCTTCTATATTTCCCGATGACCCTTCAAGCATCCTTTCTAATCCAATTTGACAATGTTGACTGAGATTTTGATTTTAGATGAACTGAAACTTTATTTTTGGCTAATGTAAAGACTTCTGGTAAAAGGCAGTTAGTGATATCGCAACATATCATCTCGTAAATCTAATAATGGAAACTTATCCATTGGAAATGTAGAAAAAGAATCCCATCCCAAAACGGTCTTTGCAATTCATGGTTAAAATATTTAGACATCACCCAAATATATAACACTAAGGGAGCATCTAACTAAACATGGCAGGCTTATATGTCATTCATTAAGGACATGAAATCACTTAAGCAGTAAGATCACATCATATTCTTAAAAAATATAAATAGAAAGAAAAACAATGAAAATACCAGAACACACTAACAATTGTTTTGGATGATGAATCATGGAAAATTCTTAATGCTTATTTTTCAGTATTTTTCCTCACATTTACTTTCTATATATCTTTTACTTTCTCTTGAAGGGAAAAAACAGGGAAAGCTTTTTAGGGGCCTGTCATGAAAGGGAAATAAGAAATACAGTTCTGATGACTTTCTAAAGCTCTGTTCTAAGAAGCTCAAATATATATCACCTGAGCACACATTAGGTGCCTGATAGCCTGTATATTATCTCATTTAAACCGCATGGCAACCATGCATTAGAGTACTTATCTTCACAGTTACAGATGAAGAAACTAGCTCAAAGCAGCTAAGTGACTTATATAAGGTGTCATGAGTGTAGATGGGATGATGGTATACCTTGGAGGGATGCTAGAGATTGAACCTGGGTTGGTCAGCCATGTGCAAGGCAAGTGCCCTACGTGCTGTACTGTGGCCCTAGTCCTATTTTCCCTAATTACGACTTAACAAATTAGAGACTAATAAGTTGTACATTATGGGTTGAGAAAATGAGCGATGAAGAACAAAAAAAAAAAATAATAAACATAAACTCAAGCAAGTGACTGACATAAACCAAAGAAAAACTCTGAATTCAGAAAACAAACCAGCTGACTTCAGGGAACGAACACAAACGGTTTAGTGGAGGTTTTGCCTTGAGCTTCCTCCTGTCTCCTGTCTCCTGGGTTGTGAAGGTGGTACCTCAGCAAGCACAGTAAAGACGCATTCAGACTCAGAAAACAAAACAAAATGGATGGAAACATGTTAAATGAAAACCAAACGGAAGGAATTTGTACAGATAATAACCTGCTGTGAGGAGGCAAAGCTTACAGTTTTGGGGACTTCGTATGCTATCTGGGTCGACACGCCGCCCATGTCGAGAATACCCGCTGTTCTTTTGCGGAGGAAGGCTTCGCTGCTTTCACTGCCGGGAATGTTCACTTCTACGATGGCCTCGTCATCTGCAGAGAACCAGAAACCGCCACTAGAACGGGAGAAAAACCCCGAGGACAAGCAGCTTCTGAAGGACCGTCTTGTTTTCAGGGCACGCTTCAAACAAGCCCAGCCCACCGCTCCCTGCGAAAATCACATCCACTGTGTGAAACAGCAGCTCTTCTTCCTCTCCTCCTACAGAGCCGTAATTTAGCTCCCTTTCGGTCCTTCAAATAGAAAACAATCTTAATTCCCATTAGGCACTTGGGAAGATGATACTTACCGTCTTCAATATGCTCAAAGCGTCCCAGGACAAAATTAATGCCGATCCAAGCATACACACCTGCAGGTGTTTCGCAAGGGGAAGGAAGACAAGAAAAGTTTTTAAGAATTTTATCAATGCAGTGTACAGTGCAGATATCCCCCGACATCCCATAAAAAAACATCATCTGAATAACTTTTTTCCTCTTGATTTTACAAGTGCTCTCAATTAAAAAAAAAATCATAGTTGAATACAATTTACATAGGTTGAAAATGTAATTCCCCGAGTGCTTAATTTGAAATCTGGGGGCTGTTTTGAAATACTGAAATTTCTACTTTTTACAATGTTAAGACAATCAATGCCTGGCTTTCAAACACAGGTGAACTCTGATTCTTTCCTTTACTTTCATGTAGGTGCCGAGTTGGATCCTCTTCATAGTGTCCCAGGCTCCTGACTTGCACCTACTTCATTACCACCTCTATGAAAGCTGTCGACCAGACCAAGGCTGTGAGGCCTTTTTTTTTTTTTTTTTGGCCTTTTGGGTCACACTCAGCGATGCACAGTGGTTACACCTGGCTTTTCACTCAGGAATTACATCTGGTGGTGCTCGGGGGACCATATGGGATGCTGGGAATTGAACCCGCGTCAGCCGTGTGCAAGGCAAACACCCTACCCATTATGCTATCGCTCCAGCTCTGGCTGTGAGGCTTTCTGGTCAACTGTGCTGGGCTTTCCTCTCTGCTCCGCCATCCTCTACTACAGAACGAAAATCAATCCCATAGCCTGATGATTCAAGGTTTTTTTCAAAAGGGCCATGCCAAAATTACAGGCATTGTGTTCTCCTGTACATAATACATCCTTTCAAAGTGTGTTGATACCTGTCCTTGAGTTAAACATTTTATTCTTGTAGCAACTGTATTTCTCTGCTGTGTTGTAACCCAACTGAAGTTTTGGGGCTTTCTGAGCAAATGTTGGCAAACTACCTGGCTGGCTCACAGGTACTTTAGAAGTACAGGGCAACAAAAAAAGAACAGGTGTAAGTGGAGTCGTTGTATTTATTTGTTGTTGGTCTTTTTGTTTGTTAATTTGTTTTTGGTGACACCCAGCAGTACTCAGAGTTTACTCCTGGCAGTGCTCAGGGATCCCTCCTGGGTAGTGCTCAAGGGACCATATATGGTGCCCGATGGAACTGGGGCTGCCCATATTCGAATAAGTTCCTTCACTCCTGTACCATCTTGCTGGCCTCCTAACATTTGCTTTAATCAATTTTCATTCTCCCTCCTTCCATTCCCTTTGTCATTGTTGTGTGAGACTGAGGTGTGTGCACACACACTTAGAGGTGGTGCTCTCACTGTGCTCCTAGGGCTGTGCTCAGCTGCAGTGCTCATACAGTGCTCCCAGGGCTGTGCTCAGCTTCAGTGCTTGCTCTCATTCTGGCCGTTGGGTTCAGTAGAAGTCCTGTGCTCTCCCACAGGTGCTTGGGGTGCTGCTGGCCTCGGGGCCGCACCCTGTAGTTTAGTTGCTCACACCCGGCTGTGGTGGGATGGAGCTGGCTGTGGCTGGGGACAGGGGTGTCCCCAAACAGCAGAGCCCCCAGGACCTACCAAGGAGCATGAGGGCTAGACACAGGGCCAGCCTCATGCTTGCAAGGCAAAGCTAGTGCTTTACTGAAGCCTCAGAGCCATCCCCCGGCCCTTCCCTCGTTCATTTATTTTATTTTCCCCTACTTTTTTTTTTGGTACTGTTTGCATATCTTTGTGTTTTAATTTTTTTTTTATAAAGTTGTCCACAATTATGTATTACATTCAATATTCCAACACCAATCCCACCACAATTACACCTTCCCACCACCACTATTTTGAATTTTCCTAACCGCCACCCAAGCCTGCCCCAATAGTGGGCCCTAAGTAATTTGTTTTATATTGCTTGTTATGAATAATCTGCTAAAAATGGGGGGAAAAAGTGTCCTTAGAAATAAAGCGTGTAAAGACTGCTGTATCTCATCCTGGAGCCATTAAGCCCTGTATAAGAGATTTCTAACATGCTGTTACAGGCCGAGTCTTGTGTGCAAATATGTGTGTGTGTGTGTGTGTGAGAGAGCGAGAGAGAGAGAGAGAGAGAGAGAGAGAGAGAGAGAGAGAGTATATATCTTGAGATCAGTCGCCTTCTACTTTAAACCCCATCCAATGTGGTCTGCTATTCCTGGTACATCAGTGGTCGTGTGCTCTAGGAGTTCTAAAATTTTAAATAGGGTGATGCCAGCTGGAGTCAAATTTTTTTAACCGGATGGTGGTGACTTTGTCTTCCCTAATTTTTAGCAACTCACTAGCAAACGGAATCTTACCCAATTGTGTATTCTCTATAGTGTCTTTCACAGAGGACGTATCTGCTAAAAGGATTTTGAAATAAATGCTTTCTGGTTCCCATTTATATCAAGCTATTCCCCAAATAATTTTATTGGCTTGCCAATTCCCTCTCTCAAGTAGAATCACTTTTCTAAAGCCAGAGCTAGCGTTTTGATTTTTGTTTGTTCTTTGGGCCACACACTCAGTGGTGTTGAGGGGTTACTCATGGCTCTGTGCTCAGGGATCACTCCTGGCAGTGCTTGGGAGCATTTGCAGTTCCAGGGATTAAACTGAAGTCATTCACATCAAGGCAAGCACCTTAAACCCTGCACTTTCTCTCTGAGTGCAGAGTTAATATTTTCTTAATGTATCAAAGTCAAGAAGAATTCTCCCTTTCTAGCAAATAGAAAATCCTAATAGTTCAGTAATTACCACAATTCTAGAAAGCTGCATCTCTTAGGACACAGATTCTATCAAAATGAATTGACAATATGTTTTCTAATAGTAAATTGTTTCTTAATGGCTTAATGTTTGAATATTAAAGATTAATCAGATAAGATACTAATCTTACAACTGAAAAGTTACATTTCAAGGCTATGGTTGACCAGATTTTAAGATGTTAAGAGGACTCTATCAATGCATACTTCGGGCAAAATGGTGAGGATATAAAGGAATAGCTGCTTGGATTTCACTAACCTTCTTGTTTCCCTGAAATCACTTCTGCATGAGAGTCGGAAAAGAGGAAGTCAAAGTGCAGGGGGATGTCGGTCAGGAGGTCCTCCAGGATGGCTTTCTGCTGACTGCAAGACAACCAGACATTTGCACATCAATATGGTGTATCTTGACATTCTCTGTTTTTGAAAGGAAAACAACAGAGATGACTACAGTACCGCCTATGTGAAACCATCCATTTTAAAGCTAAAGCACCTCATTCAAGACAGGCTATTTTATTTTATTATTTGTTTTGCTTTTTCGGTCACACTGGTGGTGCTCAGAGTTACTCCTGACTCTGCACTCAGGAATTACTCCTGACAGTGCTTGGGGGATCATATGGGATGCTGGGGATTGAACCCGGGTTGGCCGCGTGCAAGGCAAACACCCTCCCTGCTGTACTATATCTCCAGCCCCAAGAGAGGCTATTTTAAAAGAAACTTTCAGTTGTGTGAATTATATGATGCTGAGATAGAAAGTCACAAGCATTCTTTAACCTAATAGAACAAAAGACATTTAAAAAAAAAAGATAACTTTTATAGTTCAGCATTTGAAGTCATCAGTAAACAGATTAGAATGGGTTTGGGGGGGCTCTGGCGAGGGTCACCTTTCGGGAAGGATCCTCATCCCGGCGGTGCAGAGGATATACAGCGGGGTCTCTTTGTGCTTGGCCCTCGGCACATGCTGTGCAGCAAAGTTCAAGAGCGGAGAAATGTAGTCGCTGACTTTCTCCGGAGAGGTAGCAAATTCCGAAATGCCTAGGGAAGGAAACAGGATGCTTCCATGATGCAGATATTTTATGTGACATATTATTTTTTTTAAAGATTCTATCTATCTATTTATTTATTTATTGGCTTTTTGGGTCACACTCGTCGATGTTCACGGGTTACTCCTGACTCTGCACTCAGGAATTACTCCTTAGGGTGCTCAGGGGACCATATGGGATGCCAGGGATCAAACCCGGGTTGGCTGCGTGCAAGGCAAACGCTCTACCCATAGTACTTTTGCTCCGACCCCAACGCAGATATTTTAGCTCCCACCATATGTGCCTTTTCTAGTTGTCTAGTCAGAAACAGCTCAAGCCACACAGCATGCTCTCCTTCTCTTCCTTTGTCCCTCTGCTAACTCCTACCAAGTCAGTCCCTCTTCCTAAACATGAGGAGGCCATGAGCTATTCAGTCCTGTGCTCTCTTCTTCCCAGGCCTCCAAACCCCAGGCCTACCCAGGCATCTACCAGGTATCAGGCATTTGAGACATCAGCACACAAGCTCATCCCAGCCGTGGGGAACCCATGCTCACATTCCCCTCTGCAAGCTCACACACTAGCCGGGACTGCTGTCCCAGACCTCCAAATCCCACCGCCTGGACCTCTTCCCCGACCTGCTAATCAGTTATCACTGTCCACTGGACATGGCCCAGTTCCAGGCCTCACGGCATCCCAAGCTCAGCATGTGCGAAACCATTCAATCAGTTTGTAGTAGGGCCTGGCCTCCCTTCTTGTTACCCACCTAAGTGCGACCTACTTGCCTTCACTGGCCACCCCGGGGCTCACTGCTCTCCCACCCCAACTGCATCTGGGTTTCACAGTCTTCCGCTTCTCCTCAGCTCATATGGACACAATCTCCTCTGCCTGCTGGCTGCAACATGCCCTGCCTGCTAGTCCTGGCAACCCTCAGCTATTTCCCGGAATGGCCCTTCCTGAATTACTTTTTTGTGCCTCCTTACTGTCCTCCCGATTACGCTCTGCTTTAGAATAACCCGCCCTTCCCTGTGTGCTCATCCACCTTTTCTCTCTCTTCATATTCTGTCCACTCTGTGTCGGTTATACTGAAAGAAATTTCTAGAATGCATCACACTGGGCTTCAGTTCCCTGCACCGTCACTGGAAGAGCCTTTCTCTACCTCTGATTTCCTTCTCCACCCTCTGAGCCTGGCTCAGCCTGTCTCACTTCCTCCAGGCACTTCTCCCCGGTGGGACCCTGAAGATGAGGGTCCCTGCCCACGCCCACCTCCAGCTATGTCATCCCACCACATGGAAATAATCCATGTACCTGCCTGTCTCATCACAACGGGAAGTTTCTCAAGATTACAAGCTGTGTCTTGTCCAAATTACACAGTGCCTTACAAATAGTAGGTGCTCAGCAAATATTTTTTTAAGTTAGCATATAAGCACATGGATATTTTCCAGCCGTTAGAATTCCCCTGGTATTAAAGATGAGGGAGATTTTACAAGTCCAAAATTTACTCATCTTTCAGATTAGGAAATTGCGGACTCTGAAAGTGAAGTACTTTGTCAAAAGAATTGGGTAATTCACATCTTTTTGTTTTGTTTTGTTTGAGGGGGGAACACAAAGGCATGCTCAGGTCTTACTCCTGGCTCTGAGCTCAAGGATCACTACTGGCAAGCTTGAGGGACCATTATGGGGTACTGGGGTTCAAACCTGGGTTGGCCGTGTGCAAGGCAAATGCCCTACCAGCCATACTATCTCGTGAGGCTCAATGCACATTTTAAAATTCTACATACTATGCTATTCCAAGAGACACCCAGTTCCAAACTAGTGAGAATCTATTAAGAAGCTTTCAGAGCTTTGCTATAATGTTATTCAAAATTATAAAAAGACAACTTGATTTGGCTTTCAAAAGGTAGTATTGCATCAGAAAGCAGCTGGTTCAGTCTGGTTTTAATGAGATTCTGGTATACACCATGGGATGATGTTATACCGCTCTCTTCCTTCTCCAAGAACAGCTCCAAGGCACCCAAGTTTTCAGCTTATTCCATGAGAATAGCTTGATCCTGGTGGGAACTGGTATGTGAAGCTAGATGAAATGCAAATACTAATACAGTTTTGTGATTTTAGTTTTTGGGTACAATGTTTCATTTGATAAATATCACTTTATCTGGATGTGTATTACTTTACCTGGAAATACTTCGCTATTAGGTAAAAATAAAAATTTAAGGGGTAGGAAAAATAAAAACTTTAAAGTAAAAATCATTAAGAGTAAAGAAAAAATTACTTAAGAGTAAACAATATACATTAATGAAAATATACTTATCAAATGAATACTTACATAAGGAAATTCAGACTAAATTTCCTCCATTTAAACTAAAAAATTAGTAAAGCCTTCGAATTTTCTGAGTAATATGCTGGTACCCAGCTGCCCAAATAATAGTAAGATAAAACGGTCTGGAGTGAAGTGGGAAGGGTGCTTGCCTTGCAAGTTGACATGGGTTCAATCCCCAGCACTCCATATGGTTCCCCAAACACCACTAGGAGTGTGATTCCTGAGTGCAGAACCAGGAGTAACTCCCGAGCACCATCTACGGTGACCCCAAAACAAAACAAAAACGAAAATAAAAACAAAACAAAGAAAAAGAAGAATCATCCTGCTGAGATTGCATGAAGTGGGCCCTGAATTGTTCAATCAAAAATGTGCAGAACTCAGAGGTTCTCAGTTCTACTGTGATTCAGAACCTTTCTCTGAGGACAAGTATTTCATTGTGTTAAAACTGAATATTCTTTTATTTTTGAATTTTGATGTTTGGTGGGGAGGGGACCATATCCTGCAGTTCTCAGGCCTTACTCCTGGTTCTGGGCTCAATAATTACTCCTAAAAGAGCCTGGAAGACTACAAGTAGTACCAGGAATTGAACCTACGTTGGCTGGGTGAAGGACAAGTGGCCTACCCGCTGTACTCTCTCTTTGGACACACACTTTTAAATTTTTCAGCATTCCCAGGAAGCTCTTCAGGGGCTCAGGGCTCCCTAGGGCTGTACCCAGCAGTGTCATTAGTGGTGGTGTGGGTGATATAGGGCCGGGGATCCCACTCAGGGTCTTGTGATTCGAGGCATGTGTTCCATCCCTTGGAGCCATGTCCCAGGCCCTCATGGTCCCCTTTTACATAGATCATCAGGAGCCGGAGAGAGAGCTCAGTGGTATGAACACAGGCTTTGCATGCAGGAGACCAGGTTCAATTCCCAGCACCACAAGATCCTCTGAGTACCACGAGATCCCCCTTTAAGCACTGCAGGGAATGGTTTCAAATCCCAAATCAGGACCCGCAAAAATGTAAGGAGGGAAAAAAAAAGATGTAAAATGTTGATTTCAAGATATTTCTAAACTTTCCTTACATGTCCATGGAAATATCAATGCAGATAAAAGTTGAAAAACACTGATTTAAATAACAACACATTAACTTAGATGTCCTAATATATTTTACAAGTTGGACATAAAGATACCAGTTATAATTTCATGATCACTTATTAAATAAACTAAATGATTAGAAATATACTTGGGCATACATTTTTTGAGATTTATATCTTTTTATCCATTTCTTACTGGTTTATACTATTATGGAAATTATTATATTTTGGTTTTTTTGGGGGGTCACACCTGGTTGTGCTCAGGGCTTACTCCTGGTGGGGCTTGGGAGACCATATGGGGTGCTGGGGATGGAACTCAGGTCAACCATGTTCGAGGTGAGCGCCCTACCCACTATACTATGTTATCTCTCTTGCCCTTGAAATTTCAATGGTGTAGTTTCACACCTCTTTATGTGTATGATTCTCCCCACCTGCACCACCAAAGTTGCAATCCTGCCACCAAAAAGACGCCTTTCTCCTTTTTCTCTCTCGACTATAATCATTTTCAGAGTTTAAATTTTCCTCTTCATTTGGACTTTCCTCTTCATTTCCACTTCAAATTTTCTAGTGGCTAAAAGTATATTTTACTGTATCAGAATATAGATTTCCTCAAGTGGTGGGACATATCTTGCCATCAAGGACAGAGACCAATGGCCACTCATCAGGAAAAGATTTTCCATGATTAATATTGACTAGCAAACATGAGCAGACGTGTTGAACAAGGTGCTCTGATAAATGCCGCGGGAGCCAGAAAGATGTGGGTCTGGACCGTCTACAAAGATGCTGGCCGACTTATGCAAGACGGAGAGGAAAAGGGAAGAGAAAGTGAAACATTCACTGCAGTGAGCTGTGAATCAGGGTGGTGTGGCTGACGGGACAGGAAAAGAAAGGTCTGAACAACAACAGAGAAGCAAGGGCAGAACTGAAACATCACTCAGACAACTGCCCTTTACTTACCAGGTTTTATTTTCATAACCACGGGCTTCCGGTTCTTATCCCGCATCTGTCTGATGTCCAGGAGATCGTGAGGGTTGCCATTGTGCCTTGGCCAGCAGTAGACAAAGATCCGAGACCCACTGCTCCCACAGTCCACCACGATCCCGTAGTTCATGTTGGGGTTACTGATGTCTGTGGCTTCAATGTCAGTGACTCGTGCCAAGTACCTTGTTTAGAAAAACACACTTTTTTTTTCCCCACTTACACACAGTATATCATCTTAGACATATTGGAGACAATACAATAAGTAAATACCACGTGACTTCCAAGCCGCAGAATTCTACTACTTGATCATATATACAACTGCCACATGGTTCAAGAGTCAAAAGAAGATCAGCATCAGTGATAAAGACAATCTAAATCAGATAGGCACTCATTTATTCATTTCAAGAAGTTCAGACAAGTTCTGAAAAGCGAAGCTCCGTTGCCAAGTGATGAACATTAACCAAAACAAAATCAGCTTAAAAGGTATCACGAGGAGCTTATGTTTGAATAATGACTCCGGGGCCGCTTATGATGTGGTGGTTAGTGATGAACCAGCTGCAGAGCCTAATTTTTCATGCCAGGATGCTTGCAGCTCAGAACCTGGCTCCTGCAGCCAGGTGCTCCTTAAACCCAACTAATCCCCAAAGGCTTCCAAGCCAGAACAGGCGAGGTTGGTATCCCACTTAGAAAAGAAATGCTCCTTTCTCTTACCTTTGAAATTTCTTGTCCCTCGAGAGCCGCCCATACTTATTTCGGATTATGACAACCGAGAAGTATAGAAGGGAAGCAGCAGCTGCCACAATGCTAAGAACAATGATCTGGCGTAAGTTGATATTCAGAATCCGGGGACACCCCACTGGAGAGATGCTAAAGTGCCAGGAAGCAGGAAAAAGACAGGAGATGCCGATCCTGAAATAAAAACAAAAAACAGAGTTTCAGGCCATCTATTCCAAAGAGCACCACTCCCCCGCCCCCCGACACACACCTCCCCCAAACAGTCCATTCAGAAAATATTCAGCTTGGGGAACCCATTAATAAGGATCTGTATCCTAGTCTCTTCCACAATTGAACACAGTCTTGTACTTAATACTGCACAGGAAACCACATTTACCCTTGCGGGGTTCACCTGGCATGATGCACTTTCATTCGGTGGCAGGAGTGCCCATGAATCCGGAAGAAAAAAAAAAGCCAAACTGAGCAGAATAGTAGGACACGACTGCCAACACGTTTCATGTGTGATTTCAGACCTTTCCCACTCAACATGCGTTTCCGTGGCACCCCAAAACCCGGGTTTCACTGGACGAGTCATGAGGCCCCGGCACTCACCTCCCCATTGTGCCGGCTCAGCGGTCAGGCAGCGTCCTGGACCTCCCGCGGTCCTCACGCACCATTACAGAAGCAGGCTGCGGGAGCCCTCCTGGCCCGGGAGTGAGACAAATCAGAGATGTCACAGTCCACGAAAACACATATATTCCTCTTCAAATGCCTGCTTAAATCCCACTGGGCAAAACCTTGGTGCGTCATCTTAGCACTGAAGCAGGTCATATGTAACATCAGGTTTATGTAACATCAGGTTTATATGTAACATCAGGTTTATATGTAACATCAGATTTATATGTAACATCTAAGTGAATTTCATTCTCCCAGAGATACTGGCCTAACCCCAAGAGAGATGAGAACAGCACCTTGGTGTACTGGTTAGGCTCTTAACTGAAAGGCAGATCCATGGCTTATTTTTTTATCAAGACTACCAAAAAAAAAAATCAGACTACCAAACAGATCATAAGTGATTTGTACATGTCCTTAAAAGGCTTGTGGTGGGGGCAGAGAGGTGGAAAGACGAGCAATGGGAGTCTGACACGTCCTTTCAACAATCACATCTCCTTGGTGTAGGAAATATCATGCAACAAACCATGTTCCTCCATGCTATCACCACTGCTCATCACATAATGTTGTTTCATTCAACATCATTTCATTGCAATGCTGATGAGAAACATCACCGGGATTCCTGGCCAGGGCATCTATGTGGAGACCGCACATTCTGCCCCGTCTTTGGGGATCTTCTCCAGAAAACATCACAGAGCTGTGCGGTGAGGTTCACTGGCATCTCAATAGCCCCAATGTCAAGGGAGGTGTGTGTGTGTGTGTGTGTGTGTGTGTGTGTGTAAGTGGGTTCTTAACCCAAGGTAGGGTGGGGCGGGGGTTGGGGTTTCACCTCCACACAGAGATACGGGACAGGCCGAGCCATTTCTAATTCCAGACTGGAGTATATGGGTCAAGAAATAAATGAACACAAATCAAGGTTTATTTTAATTTTGCTTTTTGGGCACTGATCGGAGGTTATTCCCTTTTGGGGGTACTCAGGGGACCAAAGAGTACTGGGGAATCAAACCTGGGCATACCATATTAGGCACTCAGCCTATTGAGTTATCTCTTTGGTCCCCTCCCCCCCCCCAAAAAAAAAGAAACCAAACCTGTCAATTTGGGGTGGGAGCAGCTGTCTCCCAAGCACAGCTCAAGAGTACTGGGGCCCCTCCTGGCTGATGATTTGCAGCCAAGCAGGCCTGCAGTTCCATGCAGAGCCCCAGGATACAGTGCAGTTCAGACCCCACAGCCTGGGATCAGCATTGGGTACCACCAGGGCTGCACCTGGCAGTGCTCGGGAAGCCATTTAGTGCCGGGGTTGGGATGGAGGGATGGTGACTTGCGAGGCAAGCGCCTTAACCCCTGAAGTACCTCTCCAGCCCATATTTAATATTAGGAGCCACTTGGATTTTTATTTCGAAGTCCAATGAGTTCTTATGACCAGAAATATGTTGCAGGAACTCAAGTTTTTTCCACCTCAATTGTAAACTATGCTGTTTTGATGTTGTATTTCATAAACAGGTTTCTAAGAACCTCTCCATGACATTGATTCAAGACTTGGCAGACGGTTATTCCTTCCAGTTCCAAACCTCAAACTGCAAAGAAAACAGGGCCGCCAGGCAGGGGGTCTCTCCAGCTGCAGGTCTGGAGGAACTGCGACAGCCGCCTTGGCTCGGACTATTTTCCCGGCCAGCTGGCTTCCCCAGCCTGCTGCTCAGCACTTGAACAATTCCTCAGGGTCCTTCAAGTCTCATTCCCTGTCACGCCACTCTCCTCTCTCCTCTTCCTGGCCAAGCTCACTTCCTGCTTTGACGGTCAGATAACACAACCATTTCTTTCTCCACCCCAGGTTCTTCCTGGGCTACACATGCCTGTCTGTCACCCCTGAACAGTATCCCCATCTGAAAGCCGCAGGGGCCCATGGGAAACTTTCTCACACACTGAACTCACATCGCACCCTCACCCTCTTCCCTGCTACCCTGCTCGCCCCTGGAGTCCCAATCTCAAAGCTGAGTTACCTCCACCTTCCCAGCCCTTCATCTTCCACACTCGACTTTTGAGATTCTGTTTCTCTCACCTTCATTTGTCTCCAGCATCTCTCCTGCATTTCCTAACTGTTGTGCTGGGGGTGGGGTGGGCTCGGGGACCACCAGTGCTTGTCTGGCGGTGCTCAGGAGGTCGTGCGGGATGGAGGATTGGATCAGGCACACATTCCCAGCCACTGAAATCTATGCCTTGCCTATCACTATCCACACGTGTCTGCCTGGTCTATCAGAAGAACAGCCGAATCTCGTGTCCTACTGCAGACTCAGCCCAGAGCCTCTACGGCATCCTGAGGCTGATTCCTCATGTGCACCATGTACATGGCATCCAGCTCATGTCCAGATCCTATTACCCTTTTCTGTTTAATTTTTAAATATATATATATTTAATTTTTTTTGAGGTACCGTGGTTTAGGCCGGAGCGATAGCATAGCAGGTAAGGCATTTGCCTTGCATGCGGCAGACTGGGGCTCAATTCCTCCACCCCTCTCAGAAAGCCCAGCAAGCTACTGAGAGTATTCCACCTGCACGGCAAATATGCCAAATGCCCAAAACAGTAACAACAAGTCTCACAATGGAGACGTTACTGGTGCCTGCTTGAGCAAATCAATGAACAATGGGAGGACAGTGCTACAGTGCTACCGTGGTTTACAAAGGTAATCGTGATTGATTTTCCGGCATATAATGTTCGAACGCCAATATACTTCACGCATAAAACATTGCTAACACCAAGTCCTCTTCCCTCCACCAACGTCTCCAGTTTCCCTCCAACCTGCAGCCAGCCTCTGTGGCAGGCACCTTTTTTTTTTTTCCTTTTAGGCACTGTGTTTTGATGCCATTATTCATCTGGTTTTCTAACACCTTCCTCCAGAGTGACCACTTGCCCTTTCCACTGTCACAGTGTTCCCCTCCCCATCCTACCGCCCACCCCAAGTGGCAACATTCCGACTGATACTCTCCATTTATATTACTCTTCTCATATTCTCATATTCTTCATTTCTATTGCCCTTGAGCATCTGTCACTCATTCCCCTACCATTCCCTCAAGAAAAATGTCCCAACAATTTCAAGACAGTCCTGAAAATCGAGCTGCACACTTCACCATGATGGACACTTGCCACCTGTGCCTACAGCACTCATGATCCACACTTCAGATCCTTAGTTGCATTAAGCACATTTCAAGTGCTCAATAGTCACACACAGGTCCAGCCCTAGTCCGCAGTGGTCAGTCCCAGGGCAGGCATATGCCTACACTACGGCGACCTCGGAAATGGCACGAATCCCTGTCTGCAGTCCTGCTCTGTCCTCTCGCCATCCTCTCTCCATCTCTCTCCATCCTCTCTCCAACTCTCTCTCTCCCTCCCTCTCCCCCTCCCTCCCTCTCCCCCTCCCTCCCTCTCTTCCTCCTACCTCTCCCTCCCTCTCTTGCTCTCAGCTGGCATCTCTGTGTTCCACATGACAGGTCAGGAAGGCTCATCCTCTGAGGCGCCCCTCTGACTCCCATCTCTGCTCCTCACAGCAGTACTGCTTTGAGAATTCTATCGGGGTCCTCTTTCTCACTGCAGGGTGAGCCCTCACTGGTAAGACTTCTTATTCTTCTGTTCCCCCACTGACCAGGGCTGGTCACACACGAGAATGTGCAATCACTCTTTGTTTCCAGGCTGGCTGAGAGCTGAAGCCCACAGGGACCCAGCTCTAAAGAATCTGTAATGTGGGAGAGGGCAGGGCAGGGAAGCACAGAAGCCACGGTCAGTTCTGACAAGGCAGTACAGTCTGAGTGTTTAAGAAAGCAAGAGAATTATATGAGAGAAAAAGAAAGCTCCTCCTCCTTTCCCCCTTGGTTTCCGGGTCACACTCAGTGGGGCTCAGGGCTTTCTCCTGGCTCTGCAGTCAGGGATTACTCCTGGCGGGGCTCTGGGAACTGAACAGCTTAACCTCCAGGTCCCTGGAGGAAGACTGAGTTAATGAATTAACGATTTTGTGATGAGTGCAATGAAGTGAGAGGTAGTTCACAGAAGGAATAAGAAGCTGGAGCAAATAGTACAGCTGATTAAGTTGGCCTTGCATGCGGCCAACCCAGGTTCCATCGCCAGCATCCCATTTGGTCCCCTGAGCCCATCAGGAGGGACTGTTGAGTGCAGAGCCAGGAACAAAGCCCTGAGCACCGCTGGGTGTAGCCCCAAAACTAATATAAATGAAACTGGTGCCAAATTTCAAGGTTGTTGGCAGTTTGGGACAGAGAAAGTTCTAAGGCCAAAGAAACCATCACAAGAATAAAAAGGCAATGCTAAATCCTAAGGTTCAGAGACAAGCACGATGAGGGGGCATTAGCAGGAAGATTCCTGGAGGTGAGACTGGAAAGCTGAGGAGAAAAGATAATAAATCCTGGAAGATCAGAACAATCATGACACACTCAGAAAGCTGTGATCTGGTGCTTGTTTTAGGACTCTGTCAATGTGTGTGTATGTTGTATGCAAAGACTTAAAAAAAATGGGTAACTCCTTTTTTTAAATGACGAAATTTATGTTTGAAGGAAGTGAGGAAACAGGATTATTTATAAATTGCAGAAGTAGTTGCTTCTTTTTCGGGTAAGCCTATGGCTGAATATTACCCAGCGGCAGTTAACAACCATGTAATTTGACCTTAAAACATAAAGGCCAGCTGTCCTCACTGATGCAAAGCGTGGCACCGGGGCTTAAGGAGGCAAACTAGCGCTCATAATTCAGCGCCGAGGCTGACTGATGGTCAGCGGAGAGAAGCCTGACAAATGCCAACGCTGCTGTTGGTAAGGCTCTTACTGGGAGGGCTAAAGAAGACCAGGGAAACAGTTGCAGCTGCAAAGTGAAAAATACTGCTCTGGGGGCTGGAGCGATAGTATAGTGGGTAGGGCATTTGCCTTGCTCGCGGCCGACCCGGGTTCGATCCCCAGCATCCCATATGGTCCCCTGAGCACCGCCAGTAGTAATTCCTGAGTGCAGAGCCAGGAGTAGCCCCTGTGCCTCGCCAGCTGTGACCCAAAAAGCCAAAAAAAATAATACTGCTTGAAACAGAATTCTCTAATCCCATTCAAACAAAATAACAAGACAAATTAGTATCAGGAAGGGAAAGAGCTCAGAAAGACAAGGTAAGATGACATAAATGATGCTTCAGAAAAGAATTCTCTGAGGGTGGGAGGGATAGCACAGTGGTTATGGCTGAATATTACCTTGTATCCGACTGACCTGGGTTCTATCTCTGGCACCCTATATGGTTCCTGGAGACCTGCCAGGAGTAATTCTGAGCACAGCTGGGGGCAGCCCCCCAAGCAAAACAATTCAATAAGGATCTAAGAAATGCAAGTATTTTGGGTTTGTTTTTTTTTTGTTTTTGGCTTTTTCTTTTCTTTTTTTTTTTTTTTTTGCTTTTTGGGTCACACCTGGCGATGCACAGGGGTTACTCCTGGCTCGGCACTCAGGAGCTACTCCTGGCGGTGCTCAGGGGACCAAATGGGATGCTGGGAATCGAACCCGGGTCAGCCACGTGCAAGGCAAAAGCCCTACCCACTGTGCTATCGCTCCAGTCCCGGAAATGCGAGTATTTTGAAAAATCAAAAGAGCCCCCACAACACGTAGGCAGGCTTTGTAGGAAATGCAAGCAGGCTGTGTTTTATTGTGCTTTGCTGTACTGTGCTTCGCAGTTCATGTGGTTCTGGTTGTGTTTGTTGGGGGAAGGACTCAGGGGTTATCCTTGGCTCTGTGCTCAGGAGTGACCGCAGTAGGCCGAGGGAGACCATACCCTGGTACTCCCTCTCCCGGCCACAGGGAGGTGTTTTAAAAAGCAAACTTGCCCGCAGGGTCACCTGCATGAAGCCTGAGCATCAGCGCCGTTTCTCCAACCAGTGCAGGCTCACCTTGTGTCTGTCACATGAATTTTATGTCTAAAACAGCTTCGGACATAAAGCCATTGCACAACTTACTTGCACTTGGTAAACAAAAAAGAAATCGTGACTCATTCTGTGGCTGTATTTGCTTTACTGCAATGGCCTGGAAGAGAAACCACTGTATGTCCAAGGTGTATACTATTCGTGGAAAGACCGAGGCCAAAATGAAGCAGATCCTTGTGAACTCAGCTGTGGGGAAAGGGGTTCACGATTCATCCCTTGTTTTAAGAAGAACGCATGTCGCTGCCTTGATGACCCGTATGCTCTTACAGATATTTTTATTGATGATTTCTAATGAAAACTGTATTGATTTGCCACAGGCTTACATTATATAAATTTGGTGTTCAGCTTCATGCCTTAATATATGGATACACCTCACTGTGCCCACCAAAGTTCTAGCCATTCCCATGGTCAGATTAACATCTCTACCCTTTCTGTACCACCCCCGTCTCCTCCCCTTATTTGTATTACCAATTATTAATAATATACTCAATAATATACTCAATTCACACTAATTCCCCTAGATAAAATTACAATAATTATGCATAATAAAGTAGAAGAGACCATATATTTTATATACTTTTATGTATGGAGATTTTGGATCACACCCAGCTGTGCTCAGAGCTTACTCCTGGCTCTGTGCTCAGGGACCATTCCTAGCAGTACTCAGGGGATCCTAACTAGCACTGGGGATCAAACTGGTGTCAGCCGTGTGCAAGACAAGTGCCTTATTCCTGTACTATCTCTGTGGCACAGTATATACTTATTTTTTAAAGTGTTGGTTTTATTTTGAAGGCGAAGTCCTAATCAAACTTTCTTGGGAGGCTGGGGTGGAGGGATAAGGCCACACACCCAGCAGTGCCTTGTTTAGTTGCTCAGGGAACTGTGTGGTGCCAGGGATGGGACCTGGGTGTCCTGCATGCAAAGCACATCCCTCCCTCCCCCCCCCCCCCCACATGCTGTCTGTCTGGCCCATGTCTCCATTTTAAATGACCTTTTTTTTTTTTCTTTTTTGGATCACACCCAGGGATGCACAGGGGTTACTCCTGGTTTTGCACTCAGGAATTACTCCTGACAGTGCTCAGGAGACCATATAGAATGCTGGGAATCAAATCTGGGTTGGCCGCATGCAAGGCAAATGCCCTATCCATGACCGTTTTCTGGTCTCTTTCCCTGCACCACCCGTTAGTTACGTAAATTTGACACTCTGACTTTCTGATTCCAGTCCTGATCCTGAGACAACAGACACTTTTCCTGCCAACTCAGTACATCTAAGGTGACTCCCACCACCAATGAACAGCACCAGATTCTCCAGGTCTAAGAGGGGTACCACCAATAACTGGGCCCCCTGGGCTCTATACTCTGGTTCTGTCTTCTTCTGTCTTGACACAGAAGAAGGTGCTGTCATTACGTGCTGTCATTTCTTCTCTGAATATTTCATGCATCTAAAATGATCATGCAGGGGCCGGAGCGATAGCACAGCGGGTAGAATGACTGCTTTGTACGTGGCTGACCCAGGTTCAATTCCCAGCATCCCATATGGTTCCCTGAGCACCGCCAGGAATGATTACTTAGTGCAGAGCCAGGAGTATCCCCTAAGCATCGTTGGCCCAAAAAGCAAAAGTAAAATAAAATAAAATAAAAACAAAAAACTCATAAAATGACCATGCAGGCATTACCTTCCAGTCACAGATCTCTTGGTCCTGCACACAGATCTCTCGGTGAGCCGACCTCCTCAAGCCCTCACTGTGAACACTGAACACCACTCTGGACTGGGAACTTCCATAAAACTAGCAAGCACAGCAGGTTAAGATGCTTGCCTTGCATGCACCTGACCCAGATTTGATCTCTGGTTTCCTATAAGTTTCCCCAAGTACTGTCAGGAGTAATTCATGAATGCAGAGATAAGAGTCACCCCTGAGTATTGTTGGGTGGGATTCCAAAATAATCTGAAAAACTAACCAAAAAACCCTCTACTTTCCTCTAATAGGTTCCATCTTATCTCCCCAACCTGCTCTCTGCTCTGCCCCAGGTAATTCTCTGCTCTAACAAGCAGAGTCTCTGCTCTCACCCATTATGTTTTGATTTTTTTCCCCCATTTTTGCCTTTGGCATTCACTAAAGTCACTTCCTTCTAATACTTCTTGTTCTCAATCTAACACTATTTTCAAGGTACAACAATGATTCTCTTTGTGAAGATAGAAGCTGTTATACTTTCTAATGTTTTTTTGGGTTTTTTTTGTTGTTGTTGTTTTTTCAGGGTGGGGCACACACAGCAGCTCTCAAGAATCACTCCTGATGGTACTCAGGGAACCATATGAGATGGTGGGGATCGAACCCTGACCAGCAGCATGTAAAGCAAATGCACTACCAGCTCTATTATCTCTCTGGCCCCTACTTTCTAACATTTCAAACTTAATTCTGAGTCTTCTCAATTGAGACTGTTTGAAATAAGCAAGTCCTAGATGAGTTTTCAGGTTGGTTTCTTCTTTCTAGACTCTACTAACAAGTGCTGAAGTGGTGCATTCCTACTGGGGATAGACCAATCTGAAGCACGGATTAACATGCAATGGTACATGTGATAAATGCAAAAGCGAATGCAGAAATGGCTAAGCTACTTACAGAAATAAGAACTGCACTTCATAATTCTGCTCATAAAGTTAGTAAGTCAAATACAAAGACAAATGTAGCATCATATTAAAGGTAACGAGAAATAGGATTCTTTTGGGTCTCTCAAAGGTTGGACAATTGTTTTCATTACACAAAACAGAACACAGTACAGACGGGAGTGTGAGGATAAACTAGAGATGTGCGTGTCTCATTTAGAATTGTCCCGCATCTCTAGTTTACCTTCGAGCCCGGGAGCTCCTGAGTTATACAGCGTCTCTCTTCAGAATCCCTGAAAATTGCTCTGCAGTCCTGATTGGGGTGAGGACCGCTGCAGGTGCTGGGACACAAGCGAGCTGTCCCTTTAAAAGGGGTCCACGCAGTGCTCGAGTTTGAGAAACATCGCTTTAACACGCAATCAGCTCCTTTTATTGTTATTATCATTATTACTATTACTTCGAGGAGAAATCCAAAACGTGGAAGTAATAATTCACGCAAAACCGAAGCGGTCCGTGGCAACGTCCCGAGAAGGCTGCACGGGGGACACGCCGGGTGCTCGGTGGGGACATCCCTGCCACCCGAGCGGTGTGGGGGGACACAAGTCGCCCACGCTCCGCGACCGGGAGGGCAAATGCAGCGTGGACACCCGAACCGGGTCGCGCGACAGCAGGATTCTCCGGCCAGACGCCGGGGACAAGCACCTGCCACCCCGGGTCACGGGGGCTGGCGCCGCGGGCCCGGATGTGGCCTCGCGGCCGGGACAGCGAGGGCGTCCGGGGCGCAGGGGAGGACACGGGCGGGCGCGGGAGGACCCCTCGGGGGGCACCGGGGGCCCGGGCGCGGCCCTTGCCATCCCGCAGCTCGCCACGCTCCCACGGAGCCAAGGTCCGGCCAGTCGCTCCGGTCGCCCGCCCAGCCCGGGAACAACGGCCTCACCTGCTCTGCAGCGGCTCCCGATTCGGCGGCCCGGGCTCCTGGGAGCGAGACGCCGCGAGCTGAGCGCATCCCGGCCACCGCGCAGCGGCCGAGCGTGAGAGCGGATTCCTGCGGGCTCCGCTCCTTCCCCGGAGCCGCGCCGCCGCGACCCAGCGGGAGCCGCGTCACCGCCTGCGCCGGGAGCGCGCACGCAGGGGCGGGGCATGACAGAGGGGCGGGGCCTGAGGGCCCGGGGCGGGGCCTGAGGGGTGGGAGTGGGTGGGCCGGGCCGGGGAGGGGCGGGGTCTGAAAAGGCGGGGCCAGGTCGGGGCGGTCCGGGGCGGAGTCTGAGTGGAAGTGGGCGGGGCTGGAGCGTCTCGGGACTCAGGGCTGAGGAGACCGCGCCTGGCCCGGCAGGGACCTGAGCCACTGGGGCGGGGCGGGGCCTGAGAGTGCGTGGAGGGGAAGATGAGTGGGCGTGGCCGAAGCTTTTCGGGGCGGGGCTGAGAAGGCGGGGCTGGACCGGGACGTGGCCTGAAGGTCTGTAGTTACGGGGCAGGAGGGGCTTGGGGCGGGGCCTGAGAAAGCGGGACCCGGCCGGGCCCTGGCCCACTGGGGCGAGGCTGGAGGGGGCGGGGCCGGAGCGGGGCGGGACCGAGCGGCTCGGGGCGGGGGCTTAGAAGGCGGGGGCTTCGGGGGCGGGGCCACAGGGGGCGGGGCCGAGCTGCTCGGGGCGGGGCTTAGACGGCAGTGCCTTGGGGCGGGGCCTTCAGGCCTTGGGGGCGGTGCCTTCAGGGCACGTTTGCGTGTGAAAGTTCTGAGCTCGCCACTAGGTGCCACTTTGCCTTGTAAATGACAACGGTGAAAGTGATGTGTCAGAAGTGATCAGTACTGGGCCGTCTGGTTGTTATAACCGAAGGGCAGCGTCACATTAAAGTGCTTATATGAGGAGAACTGCAGGGGCAGTTTCTCGTTTCTTTGTGCTCCTTAGGATCATGAAAACAACCCTTGAGAACTTAACATGAGAGGGGCGGGAGAGAGGACCCCCAGGCTCTGCAAGCAGGACAGCCCAGGTTAGATCTCCTCGCAGGGCTCCCCAACACTGAGCCAGGAGTAGCCACAGGGAATGGCTCCAGATCAAACAGGAAAAAGAGAAGAAAGAAAACATAACAAGAACGAGGCATTTTTGTCTTCTTTGTCGTTTTCACAGACGCAGAAATTGAGAGGCAAAATTCTGTGCCCTCTAAAGACGTTAATGCTTGAGATATTAGTTTTGGTTGTCACAGACTCTCTTAAGGGACTTCACGAAATGCCAGACTAGTATTCGTTGCTTACAGTTCTTTGATGGTAGATATCTATTAAGAGCTGGGAGAGAAAAGCATATTTGTAAAAAGCGTGACATGTAATATTGATACATTAGTTTCCTAGAACTGACATTGTAAATCATTCCAAATCTATTGGCTTTAAATAAAAGATTTATGTTATTTACAACAAAGTTCTGAAGTTACAATTCTAAAAACCAGACTGTTTTCTCAGTCTCCTCTCTCCTCCCTCTCTCCCTCCACCCCCTCCCCTCATTTATTTATTGAATTCCAGACCGCTTTAAAACTGTGCATGACCAAATTAGGGCAAGTGAGTCAGCAAACATACTTAAACTAAAAAGTATTTATTTTAAATTATTTTTTTTGAAAAGGCCTCCAAGCAGGTATTAACAATTGCTTGGATATCTGGTGGCTTTGCTCTCCAAACACTTTAACCCTTCTTTCTGGGGACCCCTAAAGGTTAGTATGAGGTGCTGAGTGCCACAAAATCGAAGAAACCAAGTGACCCTTGGAAACAGTGAGTCCTTACTGCCCGCCTCCAGCACTTTCATGCCCAGGCTGGTTCCTGAGTGACTTGGCTAACAATCCTATATTTCTAACAGCATTTGTCTTCAAGAAGATCATAACTCTGTATAGACATTACCTCATTTATTAGCCCAACATTCTTAAGGCGGGGAATGGGGCAGGATTATACCTATTTTATGGTGCTTTGTTATACAAGAAATTTGAAATCCAGCGAGAGAGAGAGAGAGAGATGGTTCAAAGCGACATCCAAGTTCAAGCTTTCCTTCAGCCTTTCTCATCACAACAGGCTTCTCAGTTTTACTCGAGAGAGGTTGTGTGAGATCTGGATAATTAAACACACACCAGTATGGATAAGGATGCTTCTAGGACCCATATCTCTGTCTGGGGTCAACACACCTCAGATTTCCTAAAGGATATGCCCATCTCACAGTGCAGCTGGGTCAGGAATCTGATCCCGGCTAATACACAGTCATGCTGATCTCTGGTTGCCATCATTGCTAAGCAAATGATGCTGTTCTGAGCAGATGAAAGTCGGTGTCTTCCTCCTTCTTCTTCCACTTCATCTGCAGAACAAGGTGGTGCTTTGATTTTCACACCTTTTTTTGCTCCATTTCTTAAGTCAGTCACACTCGATAAGGAGGCAGGAGGTTATTTATTGGACCGTCTGAATCTCAGTGTTCCCTGCTCCTTCCTCACTCCAGCCAACACCACTGTCGTTCTCAAGGCCTCATTTCCTTTTCAGCCCTCGGTTAAAGTGAAAACCAACTCTGGGACTCAGTGAGGACATTTGATGTCGCTGGCCAGCTGGCCTCACATCCACCTCCTGAAGACTGAGCATTACTGAAACTGCTCCAGTTTTTCAGCTTCATGTCCAGCACTTGTCTGTCTGTTCTCTGTGTCCTAACATGTTTCACTCCTTGGCTTGTCCTTCCACTGTTCCTTGTTTTCATGCCTCTGAGCCTTTACACACTTTTACGGTCGTTAGAATAACTTCCTCTTTCTTACTATCTAAAATAAATTATTTTTTCTCATCCTTCAATTTGCCTCCCAGAAGTTGTCTATACCTAACCTCCCTAAGCAAAAAAAAAAAAAAATTTCTCCTTCATTGCTCAACACAATTATTATTATTGTTTTTAGAAAGTGGAAAAGTTTATTGGACAGTAGAATAGAAGGGAAAAGAAACTCTACATCTTAGTATAGAACTAAGTTCAGGTATAACTGTTCTTGGTCTTTGCACATATCTTATTTCTGGTCTATCTCTAGCCCAGGGTAAACATGAAATCAATCCAACAAATTTTGTGTGCCCATGATGTGCCCCCCATAATGTCATGCAGTGTGGAGGAGATTTTTTTGAGGTGACTTGTCTTCCACAGGTAGAAATAGTTTTGGCTTCTCCTGTTGCAGTGATTCTACTTTTGCCCTGTCTCCCAATGCAGTCCTATTTGAAATCTGGACTCTCACTCTTGATTTTGATTTTTTTCCTATATTTTTGAGTTTTCATGATTTGCAGTATTGTTATTGATAGTTTCATAGTTTCATACATACATCTTCCCAACTACGCACCTGCCAGCAGGATCCCCTCCACTACCTGCCTCCACCAAAGTTTCAAGGATTCCTCCCAACCATCTTTTCTCCCATCTCAGATAAGCTCAGTTTTGTAGATCAATTCTCATGTTCTGTTGCCTTTGTGGGTACTTTCTTTTTAGAGTGATGCTCAAGAATGTTTACTTGATACCAGGAGGTTTACTCCATGGCTTGGAGACCAGCCGCACACGCTAGGGGAAAAGGCAGCTCAGATAGAGAAGGGAGCATCAAATAAAGGGTGTTGGGAGGATCTGCTCAGGATGGGAGATGCATGCTGAAAGTAGACCATAAACCGAACATGATTGCCACTCAATTCCTCTTTTGCAAACCACAGCACCCAAAAAGAGAGAGAGAACAAAAGGGAATGCCTTGCCACAGAGGCAGGATGGGATTGGGGAGATGGGGAGTGGGAGGGATAAAGGGATTAGTGGTGGTGGAGAATGGGCACTGGTGGAGGGATGGGTACTCGATCACCGTATAACTGAAACCCAAGCACAAAAATTTGTAAGTCTACAACTGTACCTCATGGTGTTTCACTAATAAAAAGTAAAAAAAAAAAAAGAATGTCTACTTGAACTAAACTATTTTGCTTTATTTTTTAATTAATTATTTTTTTTATTAGTGAAACACCATGAGGTACAGTTATAGACTTACAAATTTTTGTGCTTGGGTTTCAGTTACACGGTGATCGAGTGCCCATCCCTTCACCAGCACCCATCCTCCACCACCACGGGTCCCAGCAACCCTCACTCCCCCCCCCCCATCTCACCTCTGTGGCAGGGCATTCCCTTTTGTTCTCTCTCTCCTTTTGGGTTCTGTGGTTTGCAAGAGAGGCATTGAGTGGCAATCATATTTTGTCTATAGTCTACTTTCAGCATGCTTCTCCCATCCTGGGAGGATCCCCCCAACACCCTTTATTTGGTTCTCCCTTCTCTATCTGAGCTTCCTTTTCCCCTAGCACATGTGGCTGGCCTCCAAGTCATGGAGCAAAATTCTTGGTACTAGTCTCAGCCACTCCTGGGTGTTAGTCTCCCATTTTGTTACTTTATGTTGCCCAGATGAATGCAATCTTTCTGTGTCTATCCCGCTCTTTCTGATTCATTTCGCTTAACATACTTTCCATGTAGTATGAACTATTTTGCTTTAAATCTCTACAGTCAGCTCCATCTGTGAGAATCTTTAGAATTTGCATTTTGCTAACCAATTTATTCCTGAACCTTCTTTTGTTTTGTTTTGGGGTCACACCTGGTGATGATCAGGTCTTACTCCTGGCTCTGCACTTAGGAATTACTTCTGGTGGTGTTAGAGGGATCATATGTGATGCCAGGAATAGAACCAGGGTCGACTGCAGAGTGTCCTGCCTGCTATACTATCTCTCGGTCCCCTCATTATCCTTCTTAACTTTGAATAATAGCTGCTTGCAAGCTCGTGTTATCTCCCACGTCTGCTCCCATTATATCAACACCTTTATGGTGAGGGGATATCTTTGATATCATCCCCTCCACGATGCTCAGGACAAGAGTAAGACACATAGGATTTGCCCCAAACACATCTGCTAAGTAGTTAGTGGATGAATGAGTGAATGAAGACCTTGCTTTCTTGATCAAAGGGCGCTATTTATGAAGATAGAACTTGGGAAGTAAAGCCATTTCTCTTCTTATCACCATACAAAATCACTTAAGAGAAGGGTCAGATAAGTATGACAAGTAGTGGATGACCGGGAGGTAAGTTTTGTCTCTTCTTACCAATTTTTGATCTTACCTGTGCTGGA